GCCTCACCGTGCGGCCGGGCCCCCGGAGCGCACGCCGGCCACGAACACCACCAGCTCGAGGCCACGCACCGCCCAGCCTGAGGGGCGAGAACGAGGGCTTCCCAGTCCCAACGTCACACTGTTCAGCCGGCGTGTGAAAACAGATGTAAAAGCCACTAACCAACCCACGTGCATCCCTTCTCCGACACCCCACCCAGGGGCCCCCGAGACATGGGCGGAAGCCGAGGCGCCGAGAGGAGAAGGTGGGGCTGCTGGTCTGTTGCCCGGGGTGGGGAGGGGGGGGCTCACTCCCTGCACTGCCGTCCCTCCCAGGAGGGGGAAGGCCAAATCGGAACCCCGGGAAAGGTCATTTCACTCTTAGCACCCAAACCTCACCTTCCTTTCCTGGGTGCTGCCTGTGATGAGCACCCGTGACAAACCCCCATGATGTTAAGACACGTCCCCCCTGGGGACCTGGTTCCTCTGGGGCAAGAGGCCAGGGAGGGGCCGGGCGGCCCCCAGGGGAGGCGGGGCTGGAGCAGACAGGCGAGGGGGTGCCACTCCCTGGGAGGGGACCCCACGGGGGGCTGCTCCAGGGGCCCGTCCGTGCTGCCGTTCCCCACACTTCCACTTCACGTCCCCCCAAGGTCATCTTGTGTCCTCAGGTCCCTGTGGACCCAGCTGGCCACTGGCCCTGTCGGGCCGGGGATTCTCACCGGGTCGTGCCCCCTGCCCCGCCCCCACGCCCCAGTTTCTCTTCCTGGGCAGCCGACCGGCCCCACAGCTGTGGCCTCGCTGCGGGCGGCCCTCCAGTGAAACCTCCTGCGAGGAGCCACGGCTCTTTCCGGAGCTGGGTCGTGCGGAGCTGCTCTGGGGGAGGAGGTGGGGCCGCCAGCCTCTTCCAGGGACAGGGCCCATGGCTCCTCTTTGTCCCCAGCGGGCCCTGGGGCTGCCCCTGCCAGGCCAGGAGGCCCTGGAATTGGAAGCCCGTTGGTGAGCTCCGCCTCTGCCCTTCCTGCCTGGCTCAGCCTCCCTGTGCCTCAGGCTCCTCCCCTGTAAACTGGGACACAACCGCCCCCCCTCCCACCGTGGGGTGGGGTGCCAGTCACAGGGCACTGCAAGTGTGTTACTGTCACCGCTGCGGGTGTGTTTGTGACCACTGCAGCCTTGTCCTCCCAGGAGGCCACCTGGAGGGCAGGGGCGGCTGGACGTGGCCCCTCCACCCCCTGGAGCGACTCCGGCAGTGGGCGTCTGGCAGGTCCCCAGGCCCTGCTCCGGCTGTCCCGGGCTCTGCCCCGAGTCAGCCCAGACCCCAGCCCCGGCTGGGCCTGCCGCACGGGCCCACGGGCCTGTTCATTCCCGGGGCTGACCTCCTCACACCGCTCAGGCTGTTCTTCTGGGGGCAGAGGGGGGTCTCCTCCCGCAGGTCCCCGGCCAGTCCGTGGTGTTTCTTTCTCCTTAGCTGCCGTGGCTGAAACGGATACTCAGACAAAGTAACAGGGACGTGGTCACGTCCGAGAAGGCAACGATTGCTGCCACTTCTGTGAGTGTCCCCCACCCGGCTGATGTGAGGGCCTGTGATGGGGTGTCTGCCACCCCAGGGGGTAGGGGTTTTTGCGGGGGTGAGGGGGCCACAGTGCATTGGGAGGGAGATCGTAAAAATCCCAAAGGGCTTTCCTGCTGAACTCTGCAGGCGGTGTCCCCTCTGGTCTCGGCCTCCTGGCTGCACCGTGTCTCCTGGCCATCGCAGTGAACCAGGCCCCGGCTCACGATGGCATCTTGAGATTTCACTCGGTATTCTCTGGTGGGACCCAGGGAGGAGGGAGGCGGGAGCCCGCAGGAAAGTGCAACATCGCCATCTAGTGGCCGCATGGGGCAGCTGCAGAGGTGCGAGCTGGGACCCAGGACTGTGCATTCTGGGAAAACGAGGTCCTCACATGACCTTGGTCACTGCACAGTGGCACAGCCCCCTGAGCTCCTCAGCTACCACGAGGGGCCACCGCTGCCACATCATTGAAAAAATAAAAGGTCAAAACACGTGCAGAGTTTGAACCTACGCATTTTGAGTACTGATGAGGGCCTAAAGGGGACGCAGGGACGGGACCCTGGGTCTCCAGGGCACCTGCAGCCAGGCCCAGGCCCCGAGGGGCTCAGGGCCATCTGCCTGCCGGGCTAGAGCGGCCTCTGGGGTGCCTGCCTGCTCCCTGCCCGTCAGCAAAGCTGCCCTGGAAAGGCCCCCTCCAGCAAGAGAAAAAGACTCTCCTTTTGGGAAGAGACCCCACCAGGGCACAGGGTCTCAGACCTGAGTGGCATCAGTGTCACCTGGAGGGCCTGAGAAAACGAGGGTCCCAGGCCACCCCAGATTTTCTGGTCCCTGGGCCTGGTGGGGGTATGGTCGGGGGGACGCCAAGAATCTGTATTTCCATCATGTCCTCTAGGCGACGCTGAGGCCCCGCTCGGAGTCCTGACCCACGTTGGCCCCCAAGGAAAAGCCAGGGAGGAGCTGGGGGCGTGGGGCAGCGGGAGTCAGGGCCGAGCACGCTCCCTGCCAGCACACACGGGAGACAAAGTTGGACGCTGGCCCAGGCCTGTGCACAGCGAAGATGCTGGGTCCCAGCGCAGCACCGGGCCATTCGATGAGCTCCGGACGTCGACCACCCACACTCACCGAGGGGTTAGATTCAGGTCGCCCCCGCACCAGGCGTGCTGGTGGGTTTTCCACGGCACTGGCACAAAGACTTGTGTCGGGGCGGTTCACACTGGAGATTTACTGGCACGCGCGGGGAGTTTCTGCACCGGCACCAGAACCAGAGCGACTACCAAGCAGGCCCGCTCTCCCGGCCGGCGGCGGTCCTGCGCACGGGGAGCTCCCGCAGACACCCAGGCCTGTGAGGCGGCTCTGGGCGACGGCGTGGATGGAGCCAAACCGCGCAACACTGAGTGAACCGGCCCAGAGCCAGAAGGATGGATGGCGTATGCATCCGCGACGCTGAGGAACCCAACACAGTCGGACTCACAAAAGCAGGGGCAGGGCCGGGCTGCCAGGGGCGGGGCGGGGCGGGGCGGGGCGGGGGGGAGGGAGGGTGGGGGCTGTCTCACCGGCAGCCGGGCACGGTGAGCGCGTGCTGGAGGTCTGACGACCACGCAGTGCCTGCAGCTGACGCACTGCGCTATTTTACGACACTTACATTTTAAAAAGAGGACAGGTGCTAGGCGTCCTTGCACGAATCCAAAGCAGCACGGGACACTTTTGGAGACGACGGGCGTGCCTGTTACCCTCACTTCGTGGTGACGTGCGATCACATGGGTGTGATCACACGGATGTGCGATCACATGGGTTAACCTCACGTGGGTGTGTGCGACCGCCCGAACCAGCTCTGTCCGTCACCTGTACACAGTAAATGCGTGCAGGTTATCGCACATCGGTTAAACCTCAATGCGGCTGTTTTTAAAAGCGAGAGAGAACCAGCCGGAACAAACTCCGGTTTCTCTGCGCCCTGACGCCGAGGGGAAGGACAGAGCGCAGGCAGGGAGGGCGGAAGCAAGGACAGCCACCCTGGTCAGCAGCTCACTGGACGTGGGTGAGCGTGGCGACCCCCCCTCCCCCGTGTTCCCCTCCCTCCACCCACCTGGGGCGGCCAGAGCGCTCACCTGGGGGGCACCGGGGCTGACGTGTCTCAAGGCCTCCCACTGCAATGGCAGCGAAAGGAGGCAGGTGCATTTTATGGAATCGGTAGACCCACGTCCGTATATTTTTTACAGGCAAGCCTTTGGGTTTGATGAAGAAATTAGGGAAACTGGAATCTGTCTGAACTTCTGGACTTAAAAGCTAAAATGTTTTCCTTGAAAAGAGAGACAGACATTTGAGCCCCTCTGAAGAGTGAGTCTCAACTGTGTCGCCTGCCTTGTCACATCAGTGAAACTCCGCGGCTGGGGTGGCAGCCGAGGTCCGTGGGGAAGCCAGTCAGCACAAGGGCGTCGGCACCGCTGTGTCTGTCACTCGTGAAGCGCGGTTTCCAGCTACAAGCAGAAACCCCCGCCCGGCCGGCCTCCCTGGTGGCTGCAGGAAGACAGGCGACCGTTCACTGCTGGGGACACCACGTGGTGCTGCAGTCCCGGGTCCAGTGGGCTTTGGTCTGTGCAAGGCTGCCATCGTGTGGCCGCCTCGGGGGTTTACCTCGGAATGCAGCCCACTCCCTAAATCTAATCTAAACACTCTCCCTAAATCTAATCTAAGATTGCCCTCTCTTGCCACCAGCCAGAAAGGGGGCTCAAGACATAGAGTAAGAGGCAAATCAAGCTCTCAGTGTTGCCACCTGGGTCTGAGTCTCCACCCGGGCGTCTCTGGGCCCTACTCAGACCTGGACTCCAGGCGCACGGTGATTCCTCCTCTAAACCAGGAGATTTCTAGCCAGCCAGAGCTGGGAAGCACAGGATGGAAAGCCCCCGCCCTGGCCTGGCGTCCTCTGCCAAACCCTGGCCCCAGCGTTGGAGGCAGCCACAGCCCTGGGCCCTGAGCCCTCTCCACGGAGGAACCCAGCCGCAGGGAGCCCATGAGGCGCAGTGCGAGGGCTCCCCTGGGGGATGCCACAAGACCGCTCCGGAGCCACAGCAAACAGGGCCGAGAAGGGCCAGGACTGCAGACACCTCCAACTCAAGGACCAAGGGCCCCTGCCCATCTTGGGCACTGTCCCTCAGCTTCGCACGGCGCTGCAGGCTGTCCCGGCACGTCGAGCAGCACCCCTCACCCAACTGTGATGACCACCCTGGGTACCCAAGGAGCCACCTGCTCTGTGCCCGCCTAGCACAGCTGGCGTGGACCCCCGAGGCGGCAACAATGAGGGCACGCACAAGGGTCAATGCACGCTGCAGCCGCCTGCACACTGCCAAGGGCCCCTGCCGGGGAGCACGCCTGCGTGGGGCCGTAGGCAGCTCCTGCCTGGCGGGAAGTCCCCGTGCACCCCCTGCTGGCTCTGTGCGGCCACCCACACGCACCTCCAGGAACCACGCCGACACCAGGGTGTGTTTTCTGCAGGAGAATCCTTTATTGGGCAGACACATCACCAACCCCCGAGACGCTCCCTGTGGTTCCCGTTCAGGGGAGCGCGGAGCAGCTGTGTCATGTGTGGGGCAGCACAGTGGTCGCAGCGCACGGCCGAATCACACACGGCGCGTCTGATCCACATTGGGATGGATGGACGGATGGGCAGACAGACAGATGACTGCACAGACGGGGGGATGGGTGAGTGGGTGGCTGGCTGGATGGATGATGGATGGACAAATGGACAGCAGCTGAATGAACGGGTGAACAGATGGGTGAGTGGATGGATGGACAGATGGATGGAAGACAGATGGATGGACGGACGGACACAGGGACGAGGGAATGAGTAGCAGGGCTGGGGGAGCGCGGTCCTTGGCTTCGCTCTGAGTCCCCAGCGGCGAACGAGCACGTGGCCGCGGCAGGGCTGCGGGACGCGTCTGAGAAGGGGCAGGCCGTGTCACATCCGGCTCAGTCACACGCAGGGCACCAAGACGCTACCAGGGCCATCAGCCCAAACTCCCCCAGTGGCTCCCCCTCTGCACGGGTGACGGCTGAGACCCTGTGGCCCGCCTGGAGCACCCTCTAAGGCCAGACATCCGCGGCGAGAGGCCAATGGTGTGCGCACCAGGCAGCCCGGCCCCACCCTCAGGGAGCTTCTCCACGGAAGGGGCGTGTCTCCCTGGAGTCCCCCGAGTCTGCTGTGTCGTGGCTCCCTCGGGGCTGGGGCGCACCCTGAGGGCTCTCTGCTGTGCAGACCGCCCAGGCGCGGCCCTCCCTGGAGCTTCCTGGGCTGAAGAACGGCTCATCCGTGCAGTTCCTATGCAGGTGTCCAAGTTCATCCTGAGTAAGGGACACCAGATCAGGCCTGACCAGTGGGCTTCTGGAGTCTGAGCCTGGGAAATATATACTCGCACCTCAAAGGTCACAGAGGAAGACACAGCAAGGATAGATGGGAGCACAAGGCCACACAAAACCCACGTGCCCTGCACCACAGGGTGGGCCTCCGGGAGTCAGGAGCGGGATCAGCACACGCTTCTGCCACGCCCCCTGCCGGCCCCGCCACCTCCGCCCTCTAGGCCCTCTTCCCGTCCAGCTCCGCCCGGCAGCGTCTCCCGGGCAACTCCGCTGCGGCTTCTCCCACCGCGCAGTCCTGATCTTCCTTTGCCTCCTCCGGCTCCTCGCCACCAATCCTCTCCTGAAATCACAAGAGAAGCTACAGAGCATTCCAGAGAACGCTGCTGAACTTCTGGCCCGCCTCGCTGCGAGGAGCCAGCCAGCAGGGGGCGCCGTGTCTGGTGCGTAAGCAGCTCTGAGCGCATCTCCGCGGATGGGAACTGAAAGGAGGTCCCGCCTGGGACCTGCGAGCGAGAACAAAGCAAGGAAGCCAACAAAGCAAGGAAGCGAACAAAGCGAGGAAGCGCTGCTGTAAAAGTCGGGCCTTGTACGCTTGCGTGCGCACACTTCTAGACACAAGCCCCTGGGCGTTACAACACACTGGGACAGGTGCTTCTCAGGTCTTCTAACGGCCTCCGAGGTCTAAAAGCAAGGTTAGGGATCAGCAGAGAGGCAAAGCACGATGCTCTCCACTCTGCGGCCCGGGGGGGTCGCAGGTAAGCCTGTCTTTCTGCTGGGAACATGCAAGCCCTCCCCTGCTAGGGATGGCTGGAAGGAGCATCAGGTGCCAGGCAGCTCTGCTAAAACCATCGAGTGCTTCTAGCCTTTGCTGTCCGATCTTCTGTCACAGAATGGCCCACTTTCCAAAATGAGCAGTATTGCCCACCAGGTGCAACTGCAAGTTTTGGATCTGAAAATCATCAACTCTTCAAGGGGTTCAAGAGCAAAGGCCCTTCCACACCAGAGTGCGTGTTATCACCATGACCTTGTGGGGGCTACTTCAGAATCATATAAAACCCTGAAGAGCCGCAGGCCACTGAGAGCCACAAAGGACCATCCTTGCCCGTGGCCTGGTCTCCCATCCCTCACTCTGGGGCACACGGCAGCTGCTGCCACATGCCATCATCTACCATCCAGACTGGAGGGGCAGAGTTCGGGAAGGAGAGACAAGCTCGTCTGTACTTTTGCTCTGCTGGTCCATGGCACAACCCGCAATTCGGATTTTTCAGTGGTGCCTCCACAGGGCAGGGCGACAGCTGACCCCCACGCTCCTGGCTTTGCTGGAGCTTGTCTGGCTGAGAGACAGGACCTTGAGAAGCCCACTTACACAGGCCCTTCCTCGAAGCACAGTGCAGCACAGCGCAGAGATGCTGGGCCTAAGCCAAGGGCCGCTGCCGAGGGGAAGCCCAGAGCCGCGGTGTGCGGGAAGCCCGCCAGGCCAGCACAGCACGATTACTGAGAACGCAGGAAGCAGGCCGAGGGGACAGGTCCACCACTGTACCTGGCTGCCTTCCCCGCTCCTGGACTGCCTGGGTCCATCATCCTGAGACGTCTGCCCGGGACTGCTCCCGTCCTCCGCGGGGTTCCCTGGGAGAGCTGCCCTCCCTGAGCAAGAGACCAGGGTGAGCAAACAGGGGCAGCTCCCGAGGCAGCGGACAATCGACAGATGAATACCATGCTGGGGACCCTTCTGGAAGCAGCGGTCGCCTGATCACTGGGACCCAGTGCCATCCTGGGGACCGTCACCCTGGCACCTCTACAGCGCCCTCTGGAGGACATGGGACATGAAGCGGTGGTTCCACTCAAGCATTTCTGAGCTGGAATGTTTATCTTCCCTTCCCATTATTGGGGCATTAAAAGGGGTCAGCTTTCCGGCTCCATGCTGAGTCCTGCACTCTGCTCACTGGAATTTTCACTCACAAGCTCGCCCACAATCACACACACATTCATGCAGCCTCCCTCCCCAGCTACCAAATCAGCCCCAACTCAGAATGGGACCGCTGTCCTGTCTGCTGCACCTGCCCGCCCCAAATCACCATGTGGAGGTTAGGGGGGAGGGTCCGATCCCCAAAAAAGTGCGCAGTCTCCTGTCTGAGTTGAAAACACAAATGAAACACATTTTTCAATAAAAGAACAAATCCATTACTTAGTTGTTACCTACATAAGTACATTTTAAAGTTTACTTCCAGACTTCGCAAGTCAGCAAAATTAGGGTGGCAACAACTGTCTGTAAGTACTTAAAAATACCAGCGCGCTTGCGTTCTCCCTTGGCGTTTTCACGTGAGACAGCGGGAGCGCCCCCGTGCGGCTCCGCACGGAAGTGCAGCCTCAGGAAGGGGCTCAGAGCTGCCAGCCCCATACATTGCTGCCTCCCTGCCCCTCCGACAGCGCCTGGCGCGGAATTAGTGGTGACTCATCGAATGAAGGAGCAAATGTTTGAATAAATGAGTGAGTGAGTGAGTGAGTGAGTGAGTGAGTGAGTGAGTGAATGGATGGATGAAGGAGAGAATGCATAATAGAATGAAGTAGATAATCCATTCTCATTGTTCTATCTTTCCTGAGGTATGAGGTTGTTTTTATGTGTTACGGACTACAGTATACTAGCAGCTAGTAAGTGCTTACTTGTATTTTAGTCCCAACCAATGAAAGCTCAGTAAGTTTTTAAATGAATGCACGAATTTGAACTCACAGGTGCCAGGACCTGAGACCACACAGGTCAAGGGCGAACCACCTTGCAGGACGCAGTAGACGACAATGGCCACTAGGGGGAGACACGGAAACTCTCAGAGACCAGCCTCAGACACAAAACGCCACCCAGTTTGGAGGGTCTGCTCTGGGCCCTTGCCAGCATAGCCCCCACCCCCAACGCCGCTGATGTTGCTGCGCGAGGTACCACCCAACACCAGGACAAGCTGGAGCTAAATTAGAGGACACGGCCCCACCCCCACCCAGCTCAGATATTTCACCCCTCTTTACAGAGACTCCTTCTGGCTTTCAACATTCAGCGCACACAGAAGACAAACACTTTCCCTACAGATGACAATCGGATCTATCAAAAATCCACCTGGAAAGAGAGCACAGCTACAAGCTGAAGGGTGAAAAACAACTCGCAAAGCCATGCGTCACTGGTTCGGGCCCCAGCAACACCCCTGCCCGGGCAGAACCCGGACGGCCCAGCGCCGGGCCTCCACAGAGCCCTGAGGCGCATGGAGCTCACCACGGGCCCCGCAGACGCAGCCCCGGCCCCACCAGCCAGATTTCAAAGGCTTCCTACTCGGCCGAGCGGAGCGAGAAAATCATGACCCACAAGCCCAGTAAATACTTCCAGGGCCATTATAAACCACAGATGCTGTCAGAGGCAGGATCTCGTGAACTTGAAAAGACTTAATCCACAGACGATGCTGCTTCAAAACTGGGTTTTACAGCGTTTGAAAGGAACACCAACTTCCCTGTGGAATGTGGACCGTCCACGCTGCACTTCGGTCATCAGAAGCCGTCGGCCCCCCTGGCTTCCCTGCTTATTCCCATGGCACGTGGAACCGCAGGAAACCTCCAAACGACACTCTGAAGCAAAAGGACCAGTGACCGGGCCGGGAAAGCAGAGCAGCTCCAGAAAACAACTGTAGAAGAATAACTGACTGACCAGAAACTGAAACCAAACTGAGAGGCCCCGCGAGACTTCCCGGGGAGAGGAGACCCCAGAAGCTGCACTGTTGGGGGGCCCATGGGGACGTCTAAGGGGCCGATCCCACGGATTTCTGAGCAGAGAGAAGCAGGCTGGAGGCCGCTAACCAGGGAGTGCGTCTGCAGCCGACGGAACCGGTGCAGGACACGGAGCTGCTCGTCTGGGGCTGCCTGGAGGGGGTTACACCCGGCCGCCCGCCCCGGGGAGGCAGAGGTGGGGGGGACTGGAAACTGGCCCCGATGTACACAGGGAGTGAAAGGGCAGAATTTTTTTTTAATTACAGAGCTTTCATAACCTAATCGTACCCTGATTATTATGATGGCCCTTCTTCCTTCAAGGGACTCATGCATGCTTCTGGAACATTCTCCGTCCAAGTCCCCTCACTGGCTGATTTGGAGGGAGCTGGTGAGTGTCGGGGTGCGCTGAGTGTCAGCCCTGGTGCCTGACTTCAGCTGGGTCTCCTCTGATCAGACGCACCAACTCCCAGCTCCGCAGAACCGCCGCCCCCCCGCCCCGCCCCGCCCCTCCCTACCCCTCCCCATGCCCTGCAATTCTCAAGAAAAAGCCAGCTCCCCGATTATGCGGGAACATGCTCCCCTTCGGCCCGTGCGGTTTCCACGTCACCCCCACACCCTGACAGGCAGGCCATCAGGGCTTCCCGTCCCCGGTCAAGGAGCTGCGGCCCCCGAGACGCCAGGTGCACACAGGGCTGCAGGCTCTCTGTGAAACCCCGCACAACCCCCAGGGCTGGTCAGCTCGGCCCAGGGCCGCCCCCCCCGCCCCCGGACGGCCCGCCTCCCTGCGTGTCTCACTCCCTGTGCCACAGGGCAGGTCACGTAGAGGCCTCAGTAGGATCGCGGGCCCAGCCCTGCCACGGCCTCCTTCCCAGGTGCCTGGCCGTCCCACTGACAGCTGCAGGCATCTGAAGAGCGTGGAGCCTTCTAGCTGAAAGGCACCATGGTAAAAACCAAAATGGTCACTGTTATGATCATTCCACTCCAAGGCCCTCTTCCCTGTCGCTGACAAAGGTAAATCAGGTGGGGACAGCACCACACGTGGACAAGGGCTCAGAAGCCAGCAGGCGAGGAAGGCTGGTGCCCGCCCCTGGCCAGTGGACTTGAACTGCTGGAGTCTCCGGAGCCTCAGCAAGTGCGCGCCCACAGCCGCAGGGTCCGCCCCTCCCGCCTCGCCCCACGCCGGGCCCTCCCCTTTAGGGCGGAGCTGGCCGCATCCCACTGCAGCAGGGAAGACGGAAAGAGCGCTGTCCGGGAGTGACCTGGACACCCAGAGACAACCACTCTGCCTCCCTGCGCCAGCCCCTGGCTACCGGAGGGCCTTCCCTCCCCCACCTGCCGTGGGACCCGCCACGCCAATGCCCCCCATCCAAACCCCGCCGGGAAACACCATGCTGAGGACAGCACGTGTCTGTCACAGGGCTGCCCTCGGGGACAAGGAGGTCCCTGTATCCTATGCTGCCCGTGAACAGGGCCAGCTGCTCATTTGCAGAGGGCTGCTCGTGGGATGCGGCCACTATTCTCCCAGAGGACAGGGGCGCAGGAGGCCAGATCCTCCCCGCAAACCCTGCATGTCTCTCCAAACAGTGTTGGTACCTGCCCCCTCCCTGTGCCAATCCCCTTCTACCTGTCAGCAGGGCGCCCGCAGGGGGGTCAGACAGAGGCGTGCTCAGGAAGGGCAGGTGGAGGGGGGTAGGACACCACCAGCCAGGTGTCGGCTGCTCCCACAGCCACAGCAAATCTAACACACCTGCATGGCCCAACTCGGTCCGCAGGGACCCACAGAAACAGCGAGACCAAAGGGCACTTTCAGAAGCCAACTCACGGTCTGGAAGTCGTGACTGTCGCAGCTGAACCTTCAGCCAGATGCTGTCCCGCTGGCCCCAGGCCCCCGGGGGCTCCACCTCCCACAGGCGCCCCCGCTCCTCCGGGTGGGCAGACAGGAACTTCCTGCAGACTGAGCAGAGGAGCCCCACATGAGCCCGGCCGGCCGTACCCCCCCACCCCGTGCACAGGCCGGCCCACCGGGGCCTCCGCTCCGATCCCCGCTATACCACACCACCCTCCCCGTCCTTTCCTCCCCACCCCGCGCCCGCCTTTCCTCCACCCCAGTCCCTCCGCTTGCTCCGGCGGCCGTAACTCGACCCCACGGGCAGGCGGCCGAAACAAGAGACACACACTTGCTCCCAGTTCTGGAGCGTGGAAGTCCAAGGTCAAGGTGTCGGCGGGTGTGCCTCTCCCCTCGGTCTGCGGACGGCCACCTGCGCACATGCCCTCGAGTGGCCTCCCCCTGAACCCATCTGTGTCCTTACAAGGCCATCTTCTCAGCACCCACTGGGTGGGGCCTGCACGTACCTACTGCCTCATTGCACCCTAACTGCCCTCTGAAGGTGCTGTCTCCATGCAGGAGCACACCGGGGTCAGGGCCTCACCGTAAGTCCACAGGGGCCCCCAGTTCACCCTGCAGCATCGCCCGTCCCACCTCGGGCCCCGCCCCTCCCCCTGCCGGGGGCCCTCCCAGCTCATCCTCTGCAGGCGTGCCCTCGGCCACCGCGTGAGAACCTCCGGGAGGCACTGCCCCACGTGCGGCCGAGCGGAAGTGCTCCCGGCCCCGCAGGTGCCCACGCGACCCCATCCAGCCCTCTGTGGGCACGTCCAACCCAGGGCATAGCACAGAGGGGGGGGCCTACAGGACTCAGCACTCGGTGTTCGAAAGGAGCCGGCCGAGCTGGCGGAGTGCTGGACCAGAGGTTCCGGTCTCATGTCCAGACAAATGCAGCCTCAAGCGCAGGGAGAGCCGGCTTCTACTTTAGAACTCCCGGACGACTTGCAGTTTTGCACCACACTGCGCAACACCCAGAGCACCAGTCCCCAGCCGCCAGCCCCTGCTTCTCGCAGCCCGGCACCCCTGACACTGCAAGTGTCACAAGTGTGCCTGTGCATACCCACCCACAGGGCCCACACTCTACCCACATCGCCCAGCAGCTGCCCCGGGGTCAAAGGACACTCAAACTGGTGGCACGATCAGCTCCCAGGTGCACTGACCCCGGGGTGGAGCCACTCAGGCCCTGGGCACCACTGGCAGGAATGCCGGAGGCCCAGTGCTTGGGGCTGGTTCAGCAGAAGTGGCCTGCACCCAGGTGGGAACCCCGCTCGGAGCTCCCAGACCCCTGTCCCATGCAGAGAGGTGCAGCTGCCCGCCAGAAGTCCCTCAAGCGTGGAGCCCTGGGTGGGTGGCCCTCTCGCCCAGCCGGAAGGCAGGCCTGCACGCGATGAGAGCCGGCAGGCCCTCAGCTGCCAGCCTGCTCACCCACATACGCGGCACTGCCTCCCCTCAGTCCCCGGGCACCCTGCAGCTTCTGGCTCTGCGGGGAAGGTGCTGAGCTGCAGGTTTCAGGTGCAAGGGCAAAGGCGCACGGGGGCCCAGCAGCAGCTGTCTGGGTGCTGCGTCTCCCTGAGACATTGTGGAGCTTTGGTGTCTATCACATCTACATTCAGTAATTTCTCGGGCCGGGGAAGGGTCGGCCCTGGCAATCAAAGCACCGAGTCCCGTTTGTGCCGAAGCGCCGGGAGGTTTCTCCGAAGGAAGAGGAGTGTTCCGAGGGCCTGCCCCCCGCCCAGAGTCGCCTGGGTGCACAGGTGTACCCATCACTGCCTCCCAGGTGCTCCTGCCCGACGCAGGCGGGCTTACCTTGGAGCATGGCAGGAGAGATCGGCCAGCTGACGCCCAGCGCGCCGTCCTCGCGGAAGGTCTCGCAGAAGTCCCACAGCATGGCCATGCCCAGGCCTCGGCGACGGTGTCCCCTCCGGACAAACACGGTGTCAAAGACAGGCAGCAGGTAGCACGCACCTGTGCCGTCGCCGCACAGGCTGCCTGCGGGGAAGGCAAGACAGAGAGAGACTGCCGACCGGGCCTGCACCAGCCCGCCAGGCCACTGGCGCCAGCAGGAGTCGTGCTGGCTCCACACGCGGAACCGCCGATGACATCGCAGCAGAGCGCTCCACACCGCGGGCTCCCCCCCCACCCCCCCACCCCGGTTCACGACAACGACCCGCCACCAGACCATGGCGCCGCCCGGAAACCGTGCTGGGGACGCCCAGACACGGCGTGGCGCTCCCCCTTTGGCTCACCGCCCAGCAGCAGGGAGGGGTGAAAAGCTGGCCCATACGAGCCTCAGACACCCCACACTGCGTGAAAGAAGTCAGATGCGGAAAAGCGCCGCGCACTATGTCACCGCACTGACTCGAAAGGCCCGGGAAGGGCGAGCGGACGGGGACAGTGGACAGCTCCGTGCAGGCCTGGGGCCGGGTGGGAGCAGAAGCTGACGGCAAACGGGCAGCCCCTTGGGGTGCAGGAAACGCCCCAAACCGGGATCCGGGTGAGGATCACACACAACTCTCTAAACTGGATAAAAGTCACTGAATCATACAGTTTTGTGGGATGTAAAATTACATTTCGATAAAGTGACCTTAAAGGATACAATAAATTGTACTAAAATGCTACTTGAAAGAGACAGTTCAGTGTGGGAAAGGAAATACAGCACATTTCCGGAGGAGGAGCCAGGCAGGCCCCCTCAAGAGGTCAGGGGAGCGCCCCCAGTGGTCACGCAGGTGCCCTGTGCCCCCGTCTGAGGGGACCCTGTGAGGAGAAGGGCGCTTCACCCCCCTCCAAACACGCACCCCCAGGTAACCACAGAAAACAACCTCAGGAACCTCAGCTCAGGGACACCCCATACACACGCTGAGGGGTGCACCCCCGAAGTGCCCAGCTCCTCCACCCGGCAGAGAGCGGAAGCCCAGTGGGTTTGCAGGGGGAGGGTCCCCAGACCGAGCGCAGCAGAGGCAAGGAGACCACACAGAGCGGGTACGCGGACAAACCCACCTCGGTCCCCGTGTAAATCTTCTGCTCTTCCGCACGCCGCGTTGGACCAAAAAGAAAATGTTTTCAAAATACACGGTGATGAAGACATGCTATCTATAACGTGTAAAGAATGCTCAAAGCTAAATAAGAAAACAAGCGCCCCAATAAAAAAATGGGGAAAACATCTGACAAGACACTTCCGCAGAGAAGACGCGTGACCAGGCGGAGCGCGCAGGACAGGCGGACGCAGACGGCGGGGACGGCTGCGCGCACGCGGCGTCGGGACGCCGGGCCGCTGCGTTGTACACCCCGCACTGGTGCTGTGCGCCGACAGTAACTGAGAACAAACCTAAAAATTTCAAAACTATGAAAACAAGCACCTGACTGCAAAGAAACTCTGAAGAGACCAACCCCTTAGGCAGACCTGTCCTCGCATAACCACAGTCACTGCTTGTCCCCGCCCAGAAACGCTGTCCGTCACCCCAACCTGCGGCCCGCCCCGGGCTGGCACGGCCCGCCCCCGTCCCGTCCCCCATGAGATGAGGTCCCTGAACTCTGGCACCCAGCCTGCCTCGGCTCGGCTGTCAGCAATTGCATCCGACCCGGCGCCCAGCAGGTAACATTCAAGAACAGAAATGAGAAGCGCGGTGCTGGCCAAGTCGCTGTGCACCGTTCGCCGCGGCAAGGTTTCTACGGAGAACACGGCGCGGCCTGAGCGTCACGCGGACGAGGGTGCAGGCTGTCTGCAGGGGCAGCGGGAAGCGGGGTGCACAGGAAACCCGAACCCCGGGTCTATTTGCACGACTGCTGCAGCAGCGACGACCGCCGTGCTCCGAGGTCCTCTCCGGGGCAGGAAGGCCCCCCGGAGGGCGCCCGCTGCTGCCCCTCACCTTTCGCCTTGGTTGTGTAAAACCCAACGGCCGCGCCGTCCCTCCACAGAACTTTAGCCTCCTCCTTCCAGGAGAAAGGTAAAAAAAACATGTTGTCGTCGTCGTCCAGTCTTCTCTCCAGTCTTCCCAAAACAACAACGTTGAGGATGAAAAGCACAATCCTTTCCGCAAACGACTGAACCTTTGAAGGAAAAAAAAAAAACAAGATGAGAGAGAAAAATCAGATTTTTGAAGACTTTTTTTGCCCCTGGCGCCGACCCACACGTAGGGGACAGGTGTGCACTCCAGGTCGCCCCCAGCTCCAGGGCCACAATGGGCGTCCGCTTCTTCCAGGTGCAAATATCCATGCTGGGTTTTATGTTTAATAATATTTAATACGTGGCCTTAAATTTGTATCATCACCATCACCATCATCATCATCACTTCTGGCTGTGGCTTCTCAGCCTGCGTTGGCTGGGAGACCTTTAGCAGCTTACCACCTCGCTGAGCCTCAGTTTCCCCAGCTGGCCAAGGGCTAAGCCTCCCCGCCCCCCGCCACGTGGTGTCTGAAACCTTTGCGTACTTTTCCACTGCTCTGATAAGAAAAAGGCGGCAGCTTGCAGCATCCTAGCAAATGGCACCAAGTGTTCGGTGCCAGCAAAGTTGTTCACTGGCACAGAATGTAAAATATTTCACCTTTATCTGGAGCCAAATCTGGGAGCAGAGGAGGATCTGTGAAAACCACCCCAGCGGGCTCTGAGAGGCCCCCCACCCGACGCTGTGTCGCAGACAGCGGCGGCCAAGTCCAGCTCAGACGTAGAAAGCGTGGGCCAGCCACGAAACGTGATCGGCATGGTGCCGGAGGGTGTAACCATCAGCTAATAACAGCAAAAGCTAAGAGGGACGCGGGAAGAGGAAAGCAGACTGCATCTGGCAAGGGGGAAGTGTTCCATCAGAAACTGGCAGGAGGAAGGCGGAGGAAGAAAACGCATCCATGTGCCTGTTTCATCATGGGGGGTGGGGGTGCGGGGTGGGGGGCAGGGGGGAAACCAGCCTGTGACAGGGGCTGAGGCCGCTCAGAGACGTTTCTGAAAACACAGAACTAAGACTCAGTTCTAATCCCTCAATTAGGACTGCTAATTACATTCACAGAAAGAACATTAACAAAGTTTGTTTTTGTTTTTGTTTTGTTTTTGGTAGGTGGTGAAGAAGAGCTGGCCAAGAAACAAAATGGAATCGAAGGAAGAGAAGTCAACCCCTACGTTCCGTGAAAGGACCGGGGAGCTGGCCCCCCGGCGGCCGGGGCCGGACAGACCTCCGCCACGTGGCGCGCTCCGTGGGAGGACAGAAGAACCCAAGTGTCTCTGTGCTCGCCGCCTGGGCCGCGTTTTCAGAAAACGTGGGGGTTTCCTCATCAGAATTCCTTCCGTGGCAAAGCAGACTCTTCCCAAGCAGTCAGAACAGCAGCCCCTAAGCACCGCCCGGCCCCTCTGCAGAAAAAAGGCAGGGACAGCCCCCTAACCAGTCCACCAGGCGGCCACTCTGAGACATCACCGCGCTGGCCGGCTCCCGGCCACCGTGGACTTGCTGGACGCTCCCTCCCTCCCTCAGAAGGAGCCAACCGGGCCGACCCTGTGAGCTCAGACTGCCGGCCGGCAGGACTGCGGGACGGCCCAGTTCTGCCGCATAGGCCCCCAGTTCACGGGGTTTGGTGACGCAGTCCGGGACACGAATCCCGGGGGCGAGAGGGGGGCCTGCTTTAAATCGTTAACCCGGGGACGGTGCAGCGACCCCGAAACCCCCCTCTGCGACGTCCGCTGCAAATGAGACCGCCTCACCTTCACCAGCCCCTCTCTGGCAGGGTCCGAGGTCCTCAGCACGTCTTCGGTGGCCCACCAGGACCCCTGCAGGTGGACGGCCACGACTGAGGAGGAAGCCGAGAGGGAGAGACGGTTTGCACACCGCCCGCGGCCCCCAGAGGCCCGGTCTCAGCAGCAGCGGCTGCCGCTGCTCAAAGGACAGACCCCACGTGGGGAGAGCGGGAGCTGTTTCTGGAGCTGAAGGGTGGGGACGGCACCGACCAGGGCCCAGGGCAGCCACCCTCCCAGGGAGGGGACACTGCAGACGTCCTTGAGGATGGCCACTGCCGGCCCCAGGACGGGATGCGTCCTGACGCTGCGGAGCCTGCAGGCGACACACCGAAACTGACAGGTTCCAGGGTGGGTTCCAGGGTGGGGGTTCCCTGTCTTTTGGGGCCCAGGTGTGGGTCCCCCACTTCAGTAAACCCAACATCACCCGAGGGCCTCCGTGAGCCGCCCAAGAGCGCCCCCCACCGGAGCCGTAACTCCTTACAACAGACGGAGCCACTCGGGCCCCTCCGGACCCCCCCCCCCGAGTCCACAGCTGACGTTTGTGCTCACTCTCGGGGTCACATGCCAGGGGCAGGGTCTGCACTAATGAAAGACGGCGCATACCCACCGGGACAGGGCCACTCGGAGGGTCTTCCCTGCCCTAAGCATCCCCTGTGGTCCCACTACACAGCCCTCCGCCCGCAACCCCTGGTCTCTACTGTTGCCGCCGGTTCACCTCTCCAGCCACGTCCTGTGGTTGGAACCGACCCTGCGGGGCCTTTCTGGAACTCGTGCCCACACTGTGGCACCGGACGGGTGAAAAGCTTCACTCCCTGCCCCCTCACGGCGGTCTGCCCTCCACCGGGCAAGCCTCAACCCCGAGATGTTTCCCCTTGGCTCACAGGATTGTCAGAAGTTCCTGTGATGGATTCCACCAGCTTATCAATAATGAACTCGTACGTGGGGCTTATCAAACAGCCGTGATCCTTCTCACTGCCTTCTAACCACACACACACACACACACTCACACACACACCCCTCACAAGCATACCTGCCCCAGGAAACCTACAAAGAAACCAGCCACAGGGATCCCCTCCACCCTGAGACCACATGCAAAGCCACAAGGGGGATCCACGCAGCTTTGAAGCCACGTGCTTCAGGCCACCAGAGAGACATTTATACAGCGTGTCCACTTCCAAACGCCAGGTTCGAGGGCACGAGGTATGAGTAACACCTGAGGGGCTTTCTGGAAATCTCGCCGAAGCGCAGCTACACGACACGGCCCCCAGCAGTCTGGAAACCATTTGGACACTTTATTTAAAATGCTGTTCCATAAGGAAAGGGCCAGAGTGAGGCTTCCTGGAGCTTATGCATTCTGGACTGCACCACATTCTTGAAAACAACCGAGAAATGAAGCACCGACTTAATAGGAAACAGATTCACGAGAGTCGGCCATATGCTTACATTATGCAAACCCGCGGGAGACCTCTCACCAGAATGCGACGCAATGCCGAGAGAGGGCGGGGGGGGGGCGGGGGGCTGCTGACGTGTGGACGTTTTCCCAGAGCTGGCGGGGGACACCTCTGGGGCTTCCGACCAGGCGTTCCCTGGGGAGTTCCCGTGTGCCCACCCTGGGGGTGGGGTCCCAACATCAAGCCCACGCTGGAGGCCTGGGGCTACCACAGACCCTCCGCTCCTGGAGACCGAGGCCCAGAAGTGGACATCCAGCACCTTGACCGGCCACCCCTGGCCTCGGGGCCAGCACGCCCGCCACTCCCAGACCAGACGGCTAGCTACGCGCTTCCCAGGCTGGGCATGGACGACGAGGGAATAGCCCGCCCAACGGGAAGGCCGCCCGGGGCTGCGAGGTCGAGGCCGAGGTCGAGCAGGGCACTTGCGGAGTGCAAGCCCACACTGACCCGCCGGGGGACAGGGGTATGGCACAGTCCGGCGGGGCACCAGGTGGGGATGGGGGGTGGAGAGCTGAAGGGGGCCCCATGTGCAAATCGCAGTGGAAGACCTAAACCCCACCCTGTCACCAGATACATCATTTAAGGAGGGCTAGCTAATTATGGGTTGGTTTGGGTTGTGGGTTTTTTTTTTAATTTCTTATTAAAAAGGTCATAGCTGATCATTGTGGGGAATGTGTAAAATAGGGAAAGGTGTAACAAAGGTGAACTTTTCTAAATGGGATCGAATTTAAACTGGGACTCCCTCGAGGTCAGAGACGGGTGCCTGGGCCCCCGGGTACACCGGGCTCCAGGTGGACAGGTGGGCCAGAACCCTTCTCTCTCCCCACCTCCGCAGACCCGCGGAGCTGAAAGCAGTCACAGGTGGTCTCATCACCACGCAGAGGAAGGATAGGTGAGTCACCGCCAGAAACAAGCCCCACCCAGCCGTCACCTGCCACAAACCGTCTACCCCACACCGCTGCGTGGCCCTGGGCCAGTCACTTGACCCTCCTCTGTCCCAGCATGGGGGAGTGGCGGGTAAAAGTGGTCCCTGTGCTTCCCGGGGCTGTGGTGACACTCCAACCAAAGGACCCCCTGTGCAGGCAGCCCGTACACATGGCTAGCGACAACGGCTAACGCTGTCCTCACACGCAGGCCTGAACCCGTCCCTGCGGGCCAGGGGCTGTCCCCTGCCTGTGACCCAGAACAGAAACAGCGCACTGCGGGGGCTCCGGAAGCTGAAGCTCGGTCACTTCTGCTCGATGTCCTTCTAAGTCCCGCCTCGGCGCACAGCCCTCGTCTCCCAGGTGTTTGCTCCCATTCGCCGTCAACACTAGATCTGAAGCACGTGCTTTAAGCCCATCCTCATCTACCCACCTGTCTTGGTGTCCCGGGGACTGACCAAGGCCAAGATTTGGTGCTGAGGCTCGTCGCGATGCACCGAGCAAAAGCAAACGGAGGGCGCCTCGAGGGTGACCTGGAAGAGATAACGAGATCGCCATGTTGTTCTCTCCGGGCAGGAAGGGCATGGGAAGTCACGCCGTTGCTGGAGGGCCGCTGTCACACCGCGGGGGGCGTGACGGGATGCAGGCGACGTGAAATGGAAAACTCACCGGCCCTGAGCCGAGCGCCCTGGCGAAGGCGCTCTGCCGTCTCTCACCCGCCCGGCCCGCCTGCTCCTTCTCTGGCCCGCCTGCCCTCCACTCAGGTGGTGGTCCCACGCCCACTCTGGCTCTCCCTTCCTCGTGGGCCTCCGTCTAGGACAGCAGAGGGCCACGCCTGCCGCACCAGCCTCCACGGTCATCCCGAGGCCACTCCATGGACAGACAGGCCTGCGTGTCCAGCACAGCGACGCCACTCGGGCCGCCCACTGCCCCGGCACAGAGAGCCTCAGTGCGTGCTTCCGAGTGACGGGGGCAACGAGCAGCGTGCTCGGGGGTCTCTAACCACCCAACGCTGGGACTGTGCCAGGGAGCTTCTCTCCAGCGCCCACATCCCAAGCCCTCTCTCTGACCATCAAACCCACAGCTTCTCCCGGCTCCTGGGGCAAAGGGTCGGCACATTCCAGGGCAGAGGCTGACTTGAAGACCAGGGAGGGTACAGGAGAACGAGAAAAGGATGTGTGGGCCGAGTGAGGAAGGCGGGGTGCTGGTGAAAGTTAACGGCAGGCCCCGCGGTTGCAGGGAGCTGTCTCTTCACACGTGCCGAGGCCTGCAAGCATCCCCGTGTCCCCCACTCCCCCCACCCCCTGCCGTCTTCAAGGCCCCCCCAGGGAAGCGTCCCCAGCCGGCCCTCCTGCAGCCGCAGTGACGTGAGGCCGGCACACCCAGCAGATGGCGCTCACGAGGCCGTCACGAACCACGTGGACACAGCACCGTGCGGACAGGAGACAGCCGTGCTGCAGACGGCCTGGTGCTCAGAAAGCTCACGCAGAAACAGGAGCCGGAGGGAGACACGTCAGCGTGTGGACAGCGGTCGGCTGTGGGTGAATTCCTTTTTTCTGGCCTCGGCCACCGTTCCCGAATTGTTTACAATGAGCGTAACGCCTACGCGACCAGAAAAGTCGGGGAGTGGGACTGCCTTTTAAACGGGACAGGACCGCTGCGAGACTGAAGGCAGAGTCGATGAGGAAAAGAAGAGACGTTCAGGGAGACCAGCGTGGTGCGCCGTGAGACCGCCGTTCTTTGGGTTTGGGAAAATCTCTCTGGATTCACCAAGAAAAGTTAACTCTGCTGAAAGCCAAAAGGAGGGCCAACAGCATCCCAGTGTGGACCCTTTCAGCCTGGCGAGGGGCAGGAAATCACCACCACTTCCTAACTAACGGAGGCCGCCCCAGGCCTGCTAGGAAACCAAGTAATTATCTTCATCAAACATTCTTGAGAAGAGGGGAAGAGATATACGGTCATTCCAGCATTTCTAGCACATGAAAAAGACTTAATTTTGGTAACTGTCATATTTTGTTACATTTTTGCTAATAACACCAAAATTATTCACACACTGGGCATACGCTATTTTAGGTTTTTAAAAAGTAATGTAACCCAAAAAGAAGTGTGAAATAAAAGGTGGTCCCTGGCTGGCGTAGCTCAGTGGATTGAGCGCGGGCTGCGAACCAAAGCGTCATAGGTTCGATTCCCAGTCAGGGCACATGTCTGGGTTGCAGGACACAGCCCCCAGCAACCGCACATTGATGTTTCTCTCTCTCTTTCTCCCTCCCTTCCCTCTCTAAAAATAAATAAGATCTTTAAAAAAAAGTGGTCGAAACCTCACCCCTAAGTCCTGCAGGGCATTTTTCACCACAAGTCTCAGGTCACCTAGCATTTCCCACACTCCCTCCAAGCAGCAGCACCCCCTGCCAATACCCCTAAGGGTAAGCCCAGGCCAGGACCACAGGCTTGCTTTCCTTTCTGCTTCAGCCGCCACTAGGGGGCGCTAAGAGCGTGCGTGGACAGTGGCCTCCTCTGCAGAGGAACCCAAACACTCGTGGGAGCCGGACTCCCAGTTGATCGCAAATCTCAAGGAAGCCACACTACGCAAACTGCGCAGATCACTGTGTTAATTCACTCTGGAACAGCTCCGGCACAGGGACACGAAACCCTCTCCTCCCCAGCCACCTTCGCTGCCCAGAGAGCAACAACTTCTGGGCTGAATAAACTCTCACGTGCACAACAGAAGAAAAACCTTGTCTCTTTCAACAAACCAGCCTCCAATCTGGGAGAAAGGTGCCTGACTCAGGTGCAGCCCCAGACTCACAAATGCAGTCTTGTTTCGGTGCTAAACGGCGTGATGGCTGCCACTCATCCCAACTAGTGTAAATCATTCCAATCACGAAATTCTAGAACTGGGTCAAACCTTAGAAGTCAGAGGCCGACCAATGCCCTTGTTTTACAAACGGGGAAACTGAGGCCCAGCCAGGCATTATATACAGTATCTCAATTGATTCTCATAACCGCAGCATGAAGACAGCTTTGTCACTGCCCCAGCTGTAGAGATCAGAACACCAAAACCAGAGAGGTTAAGACACTGGCTCAAGACCACACAGCCCGGAAGTGACAGACGGGGGCTTCACCACAGGCTGCGTGGCTCACTGCCCGGCAGACCCGGGCTCCCCTGCCAGACGCCAGAGTCCCGGTCCAGGATTCCTTCTGCTCCTCCAGGTGGAATCGGTACAGTATTCACTGCAGAAGGTTCCTCCCTTGAAGCTGGAATAATCTTTCATTAACATCTTACTTCCGAACAAGTCAGATTTCTCCCAGCTCTCCAGCAACGAGGAGGAGCAGACATACCTGCTCCCCTGTGGGGAGGGAGAAGACCTCTGCCGCGGGCCGCATCCCTGCGCTGAGCGCGGTGTAGTACGCCAGGGCGGCTTCCCGGCACCCGTCGGGGTCATCTTCCAGAATGTCCACCGGGTAACCGCCTGCGGGGGGACAGAGAGGGCAAGATGTGCTATCAGTGTGACTCTCTTGTTAAAGGGAAAGTCACTTATTTCTCGATTTTTTTAAAGCATCCAAAAGGACGCTTGCTGTAAAAATTATGTTCACCTATTTTTTTTCTAATGAGGAAGAGAGAAGCAGAGCAGCAGCAGGCAGCAAAGGAAAACAAAAGACTTTCCTGGTGGCAGGACGGGCACCAGCCCCAAGGAGGTGGGAGGCTGCACTCGGACCCTCCAGTTGGCTGCAGGAACCTCCTTTCCACACCCAGACCAGCAGGGGGCTTCCCTCAGGGCCAGCCGCAGTGGCCACGCCCCTGGACAGGAGCTGGTCAGAGCCGTGGTGACTCCGACAAGGTCAAGCTGGGGATGGGATGGACCAGCTCGCGTGCACGTGCAGGCGGCTCAGACCTGCCACTTCTCCTCCAATGGGGCTGCTTTTTGTCAGAGTTTACGTGTCCAAGTGAGTGCGACTTGTAACACGACGCACGTAAACTTGCAGCGTCTCTCCCTCGTCGCCACGCTTTTGGAGGCAAGTCGTATCCTGACATAATCACGTAAGCTGACAGCATCCAGTTCGGCTGGGCAGTGGCAGTTGGTTTTAAATCCCGAGAGGCCAGCTGGCCTCTGGCGGGCACACTCCCCAGTGGGAGGGGCCTCTGTCGCCCCCTCCCCTTCGTGGACCCTGTGTGGGATTCAACTCGGGGTCTCCTGTGGGTGGAGGAGGCTGCTGGAGCGGCCGTCTCCCCCCTTCCTCCGCCCAGGCCCTCCTTTCCGCCCTGTCCCCTCTCCACACACACATTCAAGGAATCCCCGGCTCCCCATCACTGCAATGAGTCAAGACGCCCCAGCACTAGTCAGCCATGATCAGGCACAAGCCAAACCCCACGGCTTCCCGAGCGGGTGGACTGAGCCTGCGGGCCTGCCCGCATGGCCTCTCTCCTACCAGCCGTCCCGAGGCTCCCAGTTCAGGGCCTCAGGGGCTCCCGTGGTCTCTGCACGTGCCCTGCCTCCCGACCACCCCATCACAGGGACAGTGCAGCTGGCCTCCCTGCGCCCCGGCGCCCGCCCAGTCGGCAGTCGCGCCCACGTCCAGGTGAGGACACCAGGCCTGGAGAGGAGGGTGCGGGGCCAGGCGGTGGCAACGGTCCGGGTGCGTGTGGCCAGGAGAAAGGCAGAGGGTGTGTTTGCTGCTTGCACACCACGGTCATGTCCCCCTGGTTCTGCTGCGGGGCTGTGAAGTGCCCTCAGAGAACCTAGTGGGCGGTATCCTGAGGGCACCCGAGCCGCTGCAGGCTCCACTGCCTGACCCCGCACCAGAGAGGGGTCCCGAGGGGCTCTTTACCCAGGAAGTCCAGCAGAACTGATCCTGACGGTGGGGTGGCATGGGCCTGCCCCTGGGCAGCAGCACCCCAAGGACCAATGGACTCTCCCTCCAGGCAAAGGACTCCTGAATATCTCCATGCCCCCACAGCACCCACGTTCAGGTCCCCTTTGAAGTCTGGAAGCGAGGCACAGCCCCCTGAACCCCCACACAGGACCTGCTGCACCCCACGCAGCTTGAGGGCCAAGGGGAGGCCCAGACTCTCAGCCTTTTATTAGTGCTCTTCCTTCCGGGGAAGTTCCCTGACCAGAGAAGCTCCGCGGCTTCCCTCTGACACAGAACATGCCTGGGTCAGCGCTCTGCAAACCGGGCCAGAGCGAACAGCAGCGGGAAAGGTCAGGGAGAGAGGGGGCATCTGATGCCAGCCGGAGAGGGGGCCCCTGCCCTTGGGGGAGAAGGGCCCCCCAACACCGAGAGAAGGAAGACCCCTCCCCAACCCTAAGGAACACACACATACACACACGACCCTCCCCGCATGCCAAGGAAGAAGGAAGCCCCTCACCCACCCCCCCAGGCCACAGGGGCCCGCCTGGGCAGTGCGGAGGGGCCTGAGGAAGTGAAGAAGTCAGGGTGCCGTACGCACAGCACATGCTGGAGGCCGAGGCAGGGCTGCCCCCTCTAGCTGTGGTGCTGATGGAGGGCAGACCCGGGCGGGGGCTTCCAGATGTGGAGTGCTAACCAGCTCTGAGGGCTTGGCCTGAACAGGAAATACTTCTCCCAAGCTGAAAGCATGTAATCTTTTCAGTCCAGTGTAAAATGCTTTTATGAAAAAAAAAGGCCCACGGTTGACATGATAATTCACTGCAGGCTGTAAAGAAATGGAAAGCCCCAAACGAACCCCAACTTCAAGGATTCATTGTAAGCGTATGTCGGCTGTAGTCACCCAAGAAACAAAAGCATTCTTCCAGGAAAAAAAATACTTCCATCGTTCCAGATCTTTGTACCAAAGCTTGAGCTCCCAGAGTTGCTTGAAAGGCATGCCACTCCCCCAAGCCAGACCTGGATACCCCCGCCGAGGACCGGCCAGCCACTGCTGAGGGAGCCACTGCTGGGGAGGCGGGCAGGGCCTGGATGCTTTCCCGGCATCCAGCGGTCCTCCCTATGTAAACAGCAACACCAGTCAATGAGACCCTCACAGGGGTCAGAGCCCTGCACTGAACCATTGAGGAAGTACCGCTTGCAGAGTATTCTCTCCTAAGAGCACTTCACTGCAAAGATTAGGGAATCCTCTCATGGCAGCAATATGTGGTTTTTCTCACAGACAAAACATAATAAAGGCATTTGAAATTTCACTCTGCCCACTCTTAGAACTTGACCGGAGGGCTCTACCTGCTGCTGGTAACTGCGTGACATTGTGTCCCTGGAAAAGCTGGCTGGAATCACATGATCTTTTCAGTAACGGGGACTGTCATTCTAAAGCTGCAAAAAGGACAATTCTTGCTGATGAAGGCATGTGAAAAAATTCAAGGGTGCAAAATTATAAAACGGCGTTCAGCTTTTCTTTTTAAAATCGTAAAGAGTAGCTATTGCTCGTGCAAAATGTTTTCTTTTTTGCTTTTATTTTTACAGAAGCGGTGTGTTTTTCCCTTCGGAAATTAATTTTCCTCTAAGAGGAACTTCTTGTAAGAAGGATCCTCGATGGAGAAGAAACCTGCGGCAGGGGGTGTGGTGCCTGACTCGGGGCCCCGTGGGGAGCAGGGAGGCTGGCGTCTCCACGGGGAGAGGAGACCACGGTGGTGACAGCAGGGCTCGAGAAGTCTTGGAGGGGAGCTGAGCCCCGAAGCCCCGCAGGCCAGGACGCAGGGTGGGGCCTGTGGGGAGGAGACTCCCAGAGCCTTCAGCACGGGAGGCCAGAAAGCTGAGCACCACCTTTAACTGAAAGCAGGGCTGCACTTACTTCTTGGACCAGGGCTGGTGCGCGTAGTGGGAAATACCCGGATACCCACAGCTGGGGAGGCAGGGCCTGGCTCGCACTCAGGACCACCGAACCCAAGGTCTATGTGCCTTTCCCTGGTACTTCCCCCACCTTAGGCCAGCGTTCCCGTGAGGGTGCCCTGAGGAAGCTGAGCCCCACAAGCCGTGCAGGGGAGGGGCCTTGGGGGGCTCGGAGCTTGCTGCTGTTGGGGGCAGGGGGCGCGCTCAGAGGCTGTGGGCAGTCAGGACGTTCACAAATGCTGCAGCAGTGGGATTTGCTTAGCTCCACGTCTATGTCCCAAACTTACTTAGCTGGGGACCCCTTGCTCCCAGACCCCGACTGGCAGAGGACAACACACACACCTTAGAGGGGAGGGCTCTGCAATCCTGCCGGGGCAGGAGGACCCCCACGGCCACACCGACAGCAAACCCGCCGGGGCCCAGATGGCGGGGGGGGGGGGCAGGTGTCAGCAGAGCGGCCCACCACGCGGAGAGGCAGAGAACAGAAGGTGAAGCAAAGACACGCTGGGCTATTTTCGTTGATTTTTGAAGAGCATCTGATTGCCAAAACGTTCTCAGCGAAGAATTGAAAAAAAGAAAAAAAAAGTTGGAAAGCGGAACGCAGAATGTGTTAGAATGTTTCGAGCAGAGGAGCACAGCCGTCAGGGGCCAGGCAGCCCGGGGGCTGCAGGGGGTGGTGGGAGGGTTTGTGCCGCTGACTGACAGGCGGCCTTTTGCTCCGTTGCCACATACTTTGTATTGGCCAATTTGCAGCTTGCCGCTGCCTTGGCGGGGACCAAACCCCTTGGCCCAGATCTGAGGTGGAGAAACAGGCAGATGACTCTCGGTGCCACCCACACAGAAGCGTATGTAACCCTAACTGCTTCCGATACGAAGGTCTCCGGCGGGTCTTCCCATAGGCGAGGGACGCAAAGATGAAACCATCTTTCCCCCCGAATCATGCAAAAGGGTAGGAGGTGGGACCAAAACACGCTGTTCCTTGCGGGTGCAAAGAGGTGCCACCCTTGGGGACGACTGGGGGGCCCTCTTTGGAGAAAACACATTCTCAGACATCTGTTTCCGTGATAAACGGTGACAGAAGACCGGCGCTTACTGACAAAAGGTAGGAAGGCCAGGACTTCTCGCCCCTGACCTTGAGCCACTCCGTCCCATGTGGCCAGCATTACGGGGCCCTATTAGTCAGCCCTTCACTAGGACAGAAGAGGGCTCTGGCGCGTGCTCAGGAACTGGGAAAGCCTGACCCTGTGTCCTGAGCTTCACTGACCAAGAGCTCGTAAAACACCAAGCCCTGGCATCGGCAACACTGGCACGTAGGGAGGCCCAGCGCGGGTGGGAAAGCTGTGGGGGACCGACTGTCCAGGATGGAGCAGTGTTGGGAACTGCCCTGCCTGGTTTCAGGAGCTGTCACCACCCCCCCATGGCTAAGGCTGAGTGAGCGACCTTTGGACCAGAAGCCACTAAGGAGACAAAGTTTATCTCCCTAGCAGGGGTGCTGACTCTGCCTCTTTTACTTCACCCTCCCTGGCCAATGCTTGATTGGTTAGCCAATGATGGGTAAGATTCCTCAAGGGAGGGACGACCTAAGACAGGCACAATCATGGGGAGCCCCAGGGAAGGACTTGGGGGGCTATAGCAAAATGGGGTCATGGACCCTCGCCCCTCAGCTTTG